CTACTCAGAATTCATCAAAAGCTATAATAATAATAAAGATCAATGTCAATCATACTAAATTCACAGCCTCAAATCTTAACAGCGAGCCTTCTCTCTATTTCCTGATAAAGAGTTGGGAGAAATAATCAAGAGAAATACTATCATAAACGCTAAATTGAGATTCAATTAACGAAGCAGAATAAGAAAAAGTATAGCCAACAGTCTTTCTATCGACGAATCTCAAGAAATCAGTAATCAACAACATTAACACAAAAACCTAGATTCAAGTCCACTATATTATATTCACAGACTCGTATTCTATCGGTGAATCTCAAGAAAACGCTGTCAGAACCCCTAATTCAGATCCAAGAACGCAAAGGAACAAAGCAGAGCAACGAAATTACCGTTTCCAGAGATCGCGATCTCTTTTAGACGGAATCGACCGCCAGAGCCGATCCATTTCAGCGCACAGCGACTGGACCTGACCTAGATCCTTCTTGGTCGCGAAAGAAAGCTCCGGATGCGAATCAAACGGCATCGCAGGCCTCGAAGAGAACGAAGACGATGAAGAATACATCGCCGACTCGAACCGCTCGAGCTTCCCGATCCCATCCCTTGCTCGCAGAAGCAGCTTCTTAGCGCTCTGGTACAAATCTGAAAGCGTTCCTCCTCCTCCTCCTCCTACATCCATCTAGATCGAGAGAATCAAGCGCGGAGATCGAATTGGGCCGCGAGGGTTGCCGGAGTTGGATTTGGGATCTTAGGTCGACGAGAGCGTAACGGGGTAATAAATTTAGGCAAAATATTGCATTCAAATACCTATAGTTTCACTCATTTTGCACTTATATACCCTCTCACTTGTTTTTCACAGCAATCATATACCTCTTAAGTTGTTTATAATTGACACATCATTCTATTATGCAAAGATAAAAATTTCACTTGAAATATTCTCATGTGCATATTATTCTATTATGCAAAGATAAAATAAATTTGGGTGAAAGTTTAATTTTTTTTTGTTTGCATAATAGATATATTGTGATAATGTGTCAATCTTAAATAACTTGGGAGTATATAAATACTGCAAAAACTAATTGATGGTATATAAGTGAGACGTAAGTAAAAGTATAGATATTTAAATGCTATTTGAGATATAACGTGGCATTATTTATGTGAAGAATATCCTTATAAGTTTTTTAAAAAATTTCCATGTTTCTTTTTAGCTACCTCAAATGTTAGAGCCTAATCCCTATTTGTAAAGTGGGGACAATCCATGGTGTTTAATATGCACAAAATGGATGTCAACTATTGGATCAATGCACGAATCCCGACGTTAACATATATTTGGTGCACATTTAATGCTATGCACCCGAGGCCATTTGATACTTTCTCCTGAATCATTTGCATAGATATCCATCTTCGACAACACATGTTTAAATCATCAAGAGATTGACATTTGATATATATCCTTAATTTTCGAATTTAAATTCATATTCTCTCTAATCATTTGCAATTTGTTAGTATACAATTAGCATCCACATTTAGGTTGATCCAAAATTAGTTATGATGCCTTTTTATAGCCTCTTCTATTGATGTATGCATTTCTGCCAAGTCTGGAACATTGTTCAATCAGCTACGGCAATTTAAAAAAAAAACATTTTTTTTTAATATAACTTCTTTTAAAGACAAATTGTGAAGCATAGCTCCCTAGCATTTCATTAAAAAGAAATTAACGAAACAGTCTCATGAATGGAGGGATAAAAATATATATGACTATGAGAACTCATATATATTTGTATCCCTTCCTTCTCTTCTGTCCCTTGTTTTCCCTTTAACTTCCCCTACCGCCAATGAAGTCCAAACATGCACTAAAGAAAAATAAATCTCTATTATCACAAATGACGGCAGGCATTAGTTCAGTTAACATTTGACATTTTCAACTAAATTTGTGAATTAGTGCAACGGGTGAGCCTATTTCTTAACCGCCACCACCGCAGTTTGCCAATGCATCACCAAATTTTTTTGGTGGAGAAACAAACAGGATTTATACTGCTGTATCTTGATATCAGCCTTATCCTGAAAAAGTTAAGCAAAACTGTTCACAGAAAAGAGGAAAAGAAAACAGCATTTGCAGAATATGAAATTTTGTAGAATTCATACAGAAAGGCAAGTGATCATGAAAGTAATGATAATAATTTCCATGTTTAAGGTCCCCCCCCCCTTTTCTTTTATTTTGTTCTTTTTAGCTACCTCAAATGTTAGAGCCTAATCCCTATTTGTAAAGTGGGGACAATCCATGGTGTTTAATATGCACAAAATGGATGTCAACTATTGGATCAATGCACGAATCCCGACGTTATCACAAATGACGGCAGGCATTAGTTCAGTTAACATTTGACATTTTCAACTAAATTTGTGAATTAGTGCAACGGGTGTTTGGCAATCTGAAAGTGAATTTAAAATATGTAAGTTACTTTTTTTTACAAATGACTTTTACATTAACAATCAACTACATTGAAATTTATATATAATTGAAAATAATAAAATTGCACTTTACCTCCCCAGCGTCTATCTTCGCGGATCGGTGGCGCTCTTGGTCATAAAGAACATCACGTGTCAATGGACCCGCCTCCATAACTGAAATATCTGCACATATAACGATGATACATTAATTAGAAAAAAATTAATTTTACTATAAGCATTGATTTATAAGCATTGTTTGACTATAAGCATTGATTTTACTATAAGCATTGATTTTGTCACTTTCATGTGACTTCACCATTTTTTTAGGGGAAGTCAAAATTGCATTAAATCTTATGTGGCAATTTTTTTACATCTCACTTTCATAACCACTTACATGAAAACAAACACCTTAATTGTTAAATGAAAGTAACTTTCTGATACATTAATTGATCTATAATTGAGTTAGAAAAAAATTGATTTTACTATAAGCATTGATTTATAAGCATTGTTTGACTATAAGCATTGATTTTACTATAAGCATTGATTTACAAATGTATAAAATTGTACCCATTAATTGCTATCTACTTGGATTGGTCGGGCAATGAGATCTTCTATGCCCGGCCTTCTATTGAGGGATTTTACTATAAGCATTGATTTACATATGTTTCCGGCGTACAACCCGCTTGCCACAGAAGGTTTTGTAAATGAATCTGACTAAAGCTCTTTCCACTTACATGAAAACAAACACCTTAATTGTTAAATGAAAGTAACTTTCTCACTTTCATCTTTCACTTGCTTGCAAACAAACACCCCCTAACTTAAACAACTCATTTGACAGACTCTTACTTTCTGCAATTGTGCTTGTGTGTCTGCACGCACATGACTCTGTGTTTGTACTAGAGTGTGACTCCCTACTCGAAGATCGTTTAGGGTTCTAAATTGATGTTTTAGGAACTAATTACTCAGCCTGGTGTTGTTTGAAAAAAATTACTTTTACTAAAAATAAAGTCGTATGTCTGTAAAGTGGCGCATGGTTAATTCATCAATAGACTATGTCCATCCAGCTAGTTATCACGTATTGTTCTCCATTGACGCTTCAATTTTCTTCTAGCTAATAAGTTGATACTTGATAGCATAATAGGGTAGATTTCTCTGTAGGGGCATAGAGCTGTTTGGTAAGCTCATATATGGATTCTCTGCTATATTTGTAACTCATTGAGCTAATTTTAGCAAAAGTACATTCTAATCAGCTGCAAGGAAGTTACAACCAGATGAATCACTAAGCAAAACATTCATAGGCATATCAGTGAATTAACAAAGAAAATGGGTAGATACTTAATTAGCAATACCAATGGAATTCTAATCAAAGTTAAGAGGCATTTTACAGGCATCAGATACCTGCTCATGAGCACGCTGTACATTGTCATCAAACTTTTTGTTAGAGGTTTGAATTTTCTAAGGTTTCTTCTAACTTACTGGTTGGTTTTTTCAGAATTTTAACTGAAAAAGCAATATCCTGCTAAATTTAACACTTATTTAGCATATATTTATGAGAAAGGGAAAAAAGAACAGTGTACGGACATATTTTCTTATGGTTTTTCTGATTTTGAGACCCTGATGCTTCCATTCCCTCTCTTTTCATTATTTTTCTCAGGTGAATCAGGGGGCTTGAAAAAGCACCCTATTTCAGGCAGAGGAAGGACTTTTGACCCTTCACATTCTTGGACATGGAACAAAGGTACAGAGCTGTAGCCAACTGCTTCAATTTGTTGCTCGTATTTCTGAAAATAAATATATATGACCTCAGAAAAGAAAATCAGCAAACTCATGTTCTATTGAGGATTGTTTCTAAGGTCTATAGATTGAAATGTACGACTTACCTCTTGCAGATAGTTCTTTAACGCTTCAGCATGTTTCTCAAAGGCAGAGGCATTTTGAATTGAATCCCGGATAATCCTGATTATGGTTTGGTGATTATGGTCTACGTATGGGGATTTCAATTTGACCAGATGCCATAACTTAGAGGAGGAAAGAGGCATTTTTCTTGCTTATAACCCAAATTACAACAACAAAGCACAAAAATCAGCTATAAACAACAGAAGAATTGGAATTCACATACACAAACTAAATGTCAAGTTCGACATACCAATCTCAAGTAGAGCTTTGTTTGGCAATACATATCCTGTAGTTTCATCCTCCCTTCGAGCTACACTGTCTCTCCATTCATTAAGATCCTGTAGTAGTAAAATGATAGAATGATAGCTCCATAAAATATGGTTATGTTACAAAAGTATCATCAGAAAGCATCCTCACAAAACTTGAAGACAATGAGAGCCATAATCATCTAAGAACTAAAGTCATGAGTGAGTCTTATCTAACGATAAGACAATAAGGAGATCTCTAAAACTTCACAATCGAAAGGCTTAAACCTCAAGCAAATAAATTAACTAATTAACAAAGAAATGTTATCAAAAGAGTAACTTACAGAAACAATAGAATCAGTTTCATGCACAGAAAAATTAATTACAGTATCAAAGAGTAACTTACAGAAACAATAGAAAGTTGCTGTGAGTTAAAATTAGCTTCTCGTAACCTGTAATAAGAGAAGTAAACTGTTAGAAACTCATAAGACCCTGGAGGCCAAAACCTTCTGGCATCAATTTCATGGCTTTGGGAGAAGACATGCAGATATCAATAGGAAATGCTCAAAGCACAAACCCATATATATGAATAAACAATTCATTCGTCAGCAATTCCTTCTCATAAAGATGCATGCAAATTTCATTGCTTCTCTTGTACACCTGCAGATTGTTAACAAAAAAGAAGGAAAGAAAAAGATATGGTGCTTTATATAGATCCAGAAAGTAAAGAAAAGTAGCAATGTACATATATCATAGTAAAGATTAAAAATCACACATCATCAATAAGAAACAACTAAATCTGGTTAAGGAGACAACTACTTAACAGCCAAGTTTGCAGCCTAACCAGGACATTGAAAATCTATAAATATAAACAACTAGTGCACACAAATAAATACGCTCTCTTTAAAGTAATGGGAAGAAAAGCATCCTATTATTCTAAATGTTTCCAGCTTAAAGATGAGCATACAATATGGAACTTTGGTTGATGATAAGGGCCAAACCTCCATGAGAAGGGTGTCCTTAACTACTAAAAAATGAGACATCTTAGACGGAAAATTCCGTCTAGAAAAATCAGAATTCCGAATTCTGTCTAGGATGTGTATCCTAGACGGAATTCTGTCTAGAATACGCGTCTAGGAAGTTTCCGTCTAGGATGTAGTATTCTAGACGGAAATTCCGTCTAGAATACATCCTAGACGGATTATTTTAGACGGAATTCAAAACCGTCTATAATACATCCTAGACGGATTATCCTAGACGGAATTTCCATCAGATGATGGCACTGATAGCAGTCTACTCTTCATTAAATCATATAAATGTAACAAATAGTGTGTATCTTCTCTGGCATATCTGTATAGTCAAGAAAATTATAATTATGACATTGAGAGATGAAATTCTAAGAAGACAAGTAAAAAATAGAATTTCATGCCAATGACAAAATAAAATTAAAAGTGACGTGTAAAAACTTGAAATGTAATCTTTTAATGTAATATACCTGAGCATTACATCAGGAAGCAGTCGAACTCTCCAGTCTGCGTTCTGATATCTATAAAAAAATGGAATCTAAGATATAAATATGCTTGAAAGAAGGAAGGAAGTGCTCGTAAAATTAAAGCTCAATGGCACATCGAAATACACAACCAACAAGAACTGGCTGATACGGATAATGACATTACTCTTTGTTTACATCAATTCCACAAAAGTGATAAAGCAGGTATCCCAGACTGTTCCTCTCTAGTTGCAGCACCCTTGAAGCCTCGAGAGCCATAGAGAAGTAAGAAATTTACCATCCCAGATGAGCAATACAGCAAACAGCCAAACAGTGTTGTTGGAATAGAGAATTTAGAGAGCTTGCCTCTTCCATTCATTCACATGAGTTTATATAGGGTTACATATGGGTAATAGGCTAATGGGTAAATGGGCCCTAACCCGATAACCAAAATACTAATTCTAACAAGTGTGAATTTGAGAATGATGTTAATAAAAATTCTATAATGCTCAAAGGTAGAATTTCTGACCCGAGAGGTCCATGTTAAGGACCACGATGACCGACAATATAGCTTTAGATTGGCAACATATCCATTTGTCCGATAAATGCTACATCAAGTAGCATGAAGACAAATGCTATGCAAATAGAAACATATATCCAAATACCTTGTGATATTCTTAAACTACCGTTTCTACGCTGCAAAGAGTATGACCTGTGGCCACCTAAAGAAATAGCCAAGTAGGCCCTTTATAGAATCATGAGTGCAGTTAATAAACTATTGTGACTTGCGAGTATGCAGTATATGCATGACCTATCTTTTCCGCTGAAGTGAAGGCTTAGTAAGAAGCTAAGTGATCAAAAGACTAGACTTATCGTCTGTGAAGAATCATATAAATATAAACAGTAAGATGTAACAATGTTATGCGACGACATCATTATGGCAAGGTGATTCAGTTTGGCTCATTGGCCTGTTAGTTGTTCCCCATGAATCTGATTTCATTAGCAACCTAATATGTATATCTGTAATTTCTTATCTTAGGAGGTTTCGAGATTGCATCCCTTATTGTAAAAGCTTGAATTGCATTGTCAAAGAAGTAGGTCACCTATTGTCTGGCTTTTGACGTCTGCAGCATAACTTTCTCTAGATTATACTTACCCTTTCCAGAAATTTGGAAATGAATCATAAAGTGTAAGATACATGCACAAAAAAAGGATCAATTTTCTTGAAGCTTTCTCAACTTTGAATTACGTTACATACACAAAAAAAGAAAAGACTTACATGATTATCTGATGTATCACCTTTTTTTCACTCTTCCGCCACCCAAAACTAAAATAGAAAAAAAAAATTCTTATTCATGTCTCTTTCAAAGAAGCTCTCATGGTTGAGAACTTGAGTGGCTAACATTGTGACTCCTATTATCAACCAATCACAACGAATGAGTACGCTACACTTCTAAATGCCTTTTAGCCCATCAAGATGCATGTACCAAACAGTATTACAATGAGCATCCAAATGCCGACAGGCTTCTATGAATGGAGCAATAACAAAACTACAGATACACTTTTTAGATCTTTCACAATAAAATTTTTACAAGGCGCACTTTCCAAAAAGAAATTAAGTTCTTTGCGAACTACAGATTGCCATTCGGCAATATGTTTCTTAAAAATTTGAGTCCTGCTGTTTCCATGAGATTATAAATTTTCTTTGTTTTCTTTTCTTTTTTCTGGTAATTAAATAAGTAACCGTGAATTGTTAACTAATACCAAAGCATACTTATAAACGCTTCTTGAGTCGCCATGTATGGAGAAGGCTTATCAATCAGTAGTCATCTAGATCAGATGGATCAAAGAAATCTTGTGCCTCATTGGCCTAGGGTCTTCAAAGTAATCCAAATCATCAGTTTATCCTGATAATTCATTTTGAAGAACATTGACATATTGCAAGATATAGCTCATGCACTCCATATTTTCTGTTTGAGTTGCTCTAAATGAAGTAATGTAAGATCAACTTTTACCATATTTATAATCTGGAGGATGTGAAACCCTTTTGAAATGCATGCTGATAACTGAATATATATCCAACTATTCTGACACTGAAGCTGGGTACATGGCTGGCTTCTTTATGATGGTGGAACTTTATGTTCACTTCCACCATGTTGGCATTTATTTATTCTAGATTCTAATCATGTGAAATTACTAACTCTTAATGGACGCTAATACCATAGCCGTAAGAAGAACCTATGTTTCTTATAAGTCTTACTAACTTCTTAATGGATGCTAATATCATAGCTGTAAGTAGAACCTATGTTTCTTTTAAGTCCTACTAGCTTAAAATTTTAAGCAAAACCCAGTAGTAATCCACATGCTAAAATGTATACCAGTCGAACTGCCTAGCACTTGTCATATGAATGGCAACATGAATTGAAGTCAAACAAGGAATATTAAGACAAGTTTCTGTTGTGTGCGCGGAAGCCACCAAACCTATGTGCTTCGAGAAACCAAACCAAACAAACGCCGAGTGAAGGCCAAACAAACCAAAATAATGCCACAAACACAAACAACCAATTTTTAACGTGGTTCGGTAAGTTGCCTAAGTCCACGGTGCAAGAAGGGGATGTGGTTTTCACTAATAGAGAAGAAGAGTACCAACTGAGATTACAAATCACTCAAATTCACCAATTAATCTCACCAACAAATCTCTAATTCTCTTCAAATAAAACCCTAACCAATATCACAGAAAATACCTCTTTTCTGTATTCCAAATATCCCCAATTCACTGCTCACAAACCCTCAAAATCATGTTCCTATTTATATCAAAACAGAAATCCAAAACAGAATCCAAATAGGAACTCAAACTATGCAGAAAACCCGCTATAAGTCGACTTATTAGGGGGCTGTAAGTCGACTTGCCAGAGCGAAAAACACCAACTGGAGAACAGAATGTAAGTCGACTTAAACAGTGAGAATAAGTCGACTTACCATAAGTCGACTTAACAGTCTCTATAAGTCGACTTGACCGAGCCAAAACCAACGATTTCAGAACAGATCGTAAGTCGACTCGTGCACAGACATAAGTCGACTTACCATAAGTCGACTCATGCATGGTAAGTCGACTTATGTCTATGCACGAGTCGACTTATGACATAAAATCTGGATTTTTCAGATTTCTCCATAAATCTCCACCTCGGCGAAGTTTTTCCAAAACTGAGCCGATACCAATACTAACCAAACGTCCCACTTGTTGCGTCCAGTATGAAGTGGAACAAAACCACGACAAAGGACTCAATCCACAATAAGTCGAGACCCAAATGAGAATGTGATCACTCTCCAAACGTCGGTATCAACTCACCAAACCGGCTGCATCATAAATAACTACCTATGTATCATTTTGCCCAAGGAATCAAGCCTTCACGTAGTTCACCCAACGACCTTCAAATGCCCTCAATCAAATAGAAGAGTTCTTAACTCTTCACCAATAAATCTGCGGCTGGTAGCTCTTCCAATGGCCCCAAAGTAAAACAAACCAAACACCTTCAATTGAGATTTGAGATGAACCAACGACCATATCAAATCGAAACTATGTCCACTACATGCTCTCGAATTAACCAATCATCATCTGTATCCAAATCTAAATGATCCCCAAACTATGTCACCTCAGTTGGAATTTCAAATGATGCAGTATGATCTGGAGTATTTGGAGTAATCTCCACCCAACGTGGAGTAGCATCACCCTCCACCCACTGTGATATCCCAACAATTTGATCAACACTCTTCACCTGCTGAGAGTCAAATGTAACATACATGTTCAGAACTTCACACTAACGGGACTTGATTGCAACCCACCAATACTTAGAATAGTTTCTAACTATAGAAACTAAATATTAATTACCTCCCAATGACGCCTCCTTAGAAGGTCCCCAGATGCCTGAATGAACACCACTTAAAAGACCCATCGATGGATGGATAGAAGTGTCAAACTCTACCTCGCTCTTCTTGCTCATACTAATGTGCTTAAAGGACTTCAATCTGCAGGTCAAAGTACTCCTCAACAAACCATGCACGGTATAACCAATCAAATATCTCAGCCTCAACAAATACCACAGGGCACAATCTAGCCAAATCCATAGAAGTCGTTAGTTCTCTACCAATCACCGTGCTCCTAATCAAATAATACAAAATTTTTCTTCCTGACGTCCTTCATCATAATCATGGATCCAAATGTGATCTTCAAAGATGCATCCTCAAAGATCACCTAATAGTCTGTTACCTCCAAAACTCCAAGTGAAATGATGTTCTTCTTCAACTGCGGAACGAACCTTACTTCATCCAACTTCCGAATCACTCCGTCACACATTCTAATACGAATGGTACTGACACCACCAATAAGGTATTCATGATCATTACTCATGAGCACGATATCCCCTCTTTCTAACTTCTGAAAGCTGGAGAACCAATCATTCCTAAGACAAATGTGGTAAGAAACACTAGAATTCAACATCTACTCTGTAGAGTCGGTAACACAAACTGACGGTAGTGCAGGGCACGAATAGCCCGAAGAATCCAAATATGAATTGTCGCCACTGACCTTGACAACATTCACCTTTAAAGCTTGAATAGCTTTCCCCTTATTCTTTCCGGCTCGATTTATCAACTTTGGGCATTCGGTTTTCTAATATCCATCCTTTTTATAAAAGGCATACTGATTCCTACGAACTCCAAGATGTGCCCCTCTAGACTGTGATCTCTTATTACGGTTTGGACTCTTTGCTCTTGCGACCAATGCCCCCGTTACCTACTTAACTTAAGTCTCCTTATCCTTTTTTCGAAGCTGATAATTCACAAGTACAATGATGACCTAACTAAACGAAAGAGATGTCTTCCCATTAATAAGAGTAAAAACAAATGTCTCATATTCCTCGTCGGGTAAGAAACTCAACAATAACAACGCCTTATCCTCATATTCAATCATCACATCTATAATCGTCAAATCCGTAAGAAGCTTCGTGTAGTGGTTCATGTGATCACCAATGGAGGTTCCTTTCTTCAATTGGAAGCGATAAATCCTCCTCTTCAAATGCAAGCGATTTTCCACACTCTTCGTCAAATACTAGCTCTCTAGGATTTCCCAAATCTTCTTAGCCGAAGTCTCATTGATCACATCATATTTCAAATCTTGAGTTGAACAAGATCTAATCATATCACATGTCATTCTATTCATCTTCTTCCAAACATTCTCCTCAATGTCGTCCGATTTTCTGTTCAACTCTAATGTATCTTTCAAATTTTACGCGTTGAGCGTATCCAAGATTTCACATCTCCAAAGACTAAAATTATTTGTGCCATTAAACTTCTCTATATTTATCTTCATAGAGTGGATATTCAAACTTTGGACGGTCTTCACGCCGGAAGTACCCTGCACAACTTCTCCTTTCTCAACCATTTTTCGCAAAGCACCAACAAAACAATGCGGAACAAACGAATAATAGATTCAAACTAAAAAAAAGAGATTTTTACCTCCAACTGAAATCCTAACAAGGGCCTCCAAAAGATCTCACCGCATACGACGGAAACGAGATCTATAAATAGGAAAAATCCTACCTTTATCACTAACTAAAACCCTAGACGAACTTCCAAAGCGATCTACTAGTCCAATTAACCTAAGCGTAGCTCAAGCGTAGCCCAAGCTCTGATACCACTTGTTATGCGCGCGAAAGCCACCAAACCTATGTGCTTCGAGAAACCAAACCAAACAAACGCCGAGAGAAGGCCAAACAAACCAAAATAATGCCACAAATAAAAACAACAAATTTTTAACGAGGTTCGACAAGTTGCCTACGTCCACGGTGTAAGAAGGAGATGTGGTTTTCACTAATAAAGAAGAAGAGTACAAACTAAGATTACAAATCACTCAAACTCACCAATTAATCTCACCAACAAATCTCTAATTCTCTCCAAACAAAACCCTAACCAATAGCTCAAAAAATATCTTTTTTCTGTGCTCTAAATATCCCTAATTCATTGCTCACAAACCCTCAAAATCGTGTTTCTATTTATATCAAAACAGAAACCTAAAACAGAATCTAAATAGGAACTCAAATTGTGCAGAAAACCCGCTATAAGTCAACTTATCAGGGGCTATAAGTCGACTTGGCAGAGCGAAAAACACCAACTGGAGGACAGAACGTAAGTCGACTTAACAGTGGGAATAAGTCGACTTACCATAAGTCGACTTAACAGTATCTATAAGTCGACTTGACCGAAGCAAAACCAACAATTCCATAACAGATCGTAAGTCGACTCGTGCACAGACACAAGTCAACTTACCATAAGTCGACTTATGTCTATGCATGAGTCGACTTATGACACAAAATCTGGATTTTTCAGATTTCTCCACAGCTTCCACAAGTCAAGGGAATGATCAAGAAGGATGTTTCCTGACAAGTGTGAGCGAGGAGACGATGACAGTAGGCAATCGAAGATGATCTTGTTCAAACAGTGAACACGGTGCTTACACCAGGTGCAATCCAACAAGAAAGGTTGAGTTGTAGAAGCAAATGGTGCACACATGAAAGTTGCTTGATCTTCAAAAAGGTCATTCATTAGATACAAGCAAGGCGATGATAGCTGTAGACTGTAGTATGTTCTATATTTCATCCAAAGTTAGGAACAATTATAGGTAAAGTGCCAAATGAATAAAAAGTGAGTCTTGCACCAAAGAAGGTAGTTGGTTTGAACTATAAATGTTTCTTTCAGGTTTTTTTTAATTAATGATCTGATGCAGAATCAATAACCGAGTCAGTTGCAACCCTCCATCAGAATACAAACTTTAAATCCCCAAAAAAAAAATCAAGAGAAAATGTAAGAAAGAAACAAATGGAAGGAAATAAATTTTTGTGGTCCAGTATCCCCAGATTAAATCGATTCTGAAAACATTTGTGTTTCTCACTGTGAAGTTTCTTTCTTGTGAAGCACAGGTTTGCATATATCGTGCACAATCTGGTGGCAGAATACACAGAGATAGCAAGCAGCAAAGAATAGTGTCAGAAAATTAATACCTGCCCAGTATCAAAGAGGTTGCACACATAAATGCCAAAGTCTCGTTGAAGCCACAATATATCACAATCTGCCCCTTGCATGACCTAAGTAATTACCCAATGTTATAAAAGAGAAAATTGAAAATTTTTAAATGAGGTAATATTTAATTATGTAAGGGATGTAAATAGTTTATACCTTTCTCTTGGATGGATCTTTGAAAACTTCCCTCAAGTATGGTCCAACATGCACACGCAATTTCAGAGTGTCTATTGCAAAGTCCTCTGTCCTTGTAGAGATTTGCTTTAAACAAGTCAATCCCTGAAAGGACCTATATTGATTGTGCTCCAAATCAACCAGGAATAAAGATTAGCAACTAATCAAGATAAAAAGAAAAAAGAAAAAAGAAAAAAGAAAAAAGAAAAAAGAAAAAAAATTACGGCCTGCATATTGAGAGAGATGCTATTTTCAAAAATTTTAGATCAGAAATTCTCTGACATTCTTTTTGCTAGAAAGGGCAGGAAATCATCTACCAAAAAAAGAGACGATATGCACACTAGAGTTTAACAAACCAGAGTCACCATTTGTCAAGGAAACATCCTAGTTGAAAATTTTCTATCAAGTACTAACCGCAAGTTCATTAACATCCTTCAACTTTGTTGCTAATTCCTTTAGCTCTTTCACTCCTTCTACCAGCTTAAATGGTGTGCTTTCTAGATGCGTGATTAGTGGTCCGCTTTCTCGAACATGTCCATCAACAAAGTCCAGGACTGACAATTACTCCTGCAATTATATATTAACTTCAAGTTGAAACCACAACAATAACCACTAAGGAGAAAAAAAATCAAAATAGGTAGAGAAGAAGCCAATCAATAAAATAACAAGTGTAGACTAATCGGTTCCATAAAACTCAGACTTGTTCCCAATAAGAGTTGAAGGCAGAAGAAACAAAAGAATCACCTAACTGTTGCCACATAATAATCCATTTACCACCCATATTAATTGAGTGGCATATTATTCAAGATATCTGAATTACTGCTAGATACAACCACTACATCATAAGTCCCTAGATCATACTGATAGTTGTAAAGATCTTAGATGCCAAAAGATGTTCCGAAATTCAGTTGCAAAATGATTAGCAGAGTACAATGATATATAGTCCTCACACACACTTGACTGTGTGGAATGTATCTCCAATATGATATCTTGGAATTCTCTAAAAAACAGCGTTGGTTCCTATTATTTGATCCTTCTTGTTATATTCTTTATAGATTTCAATTAGGTAAATTGTCAAGATGCTTTACAAGTCAGTGAGCTTATAGATCCCATCCATTTACCCAGCACCGTCCCCACACACATGAACACACACGCCCAGGCACACATATGTATGCACCAACTCACAAACCACCATCACCACTCCACCAACCCGGCCATCATCACCACTCCACCAACCCGACCACCCCTATCCAACTACGATATAGCACCGTTAGCACATGCAAGGAATGTTTACTTGCTTTCGAGAATATGTCATATTAAGTATATGATTCTCATAAAGCTCACCACAAAATATTTGAATTAATATCTGTACTTTGCGCACTAAGAACACATTAACAATGGTTTTCATTGCACCTTTCAATGATTCAGTGACAACAATTGTGAGTGTTATAATAGCCCTTAGGCATCAAAGTATTGAAGGTTCATGGGTTAACTGAACCTAACCTATGCATGATAAGCTACATCTGTCTTTGACTTCATTTTGGATGTTTCTTTTCTGAGAGACTATGTATCAAGTAAGCCTTTAATTACCCATGATTGGACATGAGAGACTATGTACCAAATATACCATTAATTACGCATGATTGGACATGACTACTCTAGTAATCACCGAAATCAAAAGAAGAATACAGGTTGGTTTTATTAACTTGCTTTACATGCTTGCCAAATCCTTTCTGATGTTATCAACATTGCCATACAAGTTTGTACTGTCTTCATCTATATGCGTGAGGTAGCACGGATTCATGCTTTCCACTAAAATAATGAACCCAGTTAAATCTGACAGCGTACGAATCGGAGGAATTTCCACTGCTTAATAACAGGGGAGGATAGAAACTCTTACTGCGTGCTTGTGAAAGAAACGGTAGGTAACACAAGATAACAGGCAAAAAGAACTCAATTATTTAGGTAACATTTAAGTCAAATTCTTGCAAAGCCGAGCGCAGCCTTCGCAATGGTTCTCAAGCAGATAGTGCCACTTATTACATTGTTTTGTTGTTTTTCCCATAACTAGCATAATGTATGGAATATATAATCCATTCCAAAGTAATATGCCTTTGTAGACACTTCGCATCCCATCCAACAAGCTAAATAACAATCTAATTGGTGTGGGTGCATGCGTGTGCGTTTGATTCTAAAAACATGCAGAGAGGTCTATATAGGAAATATATAATGTTGATGCAGATTTATTTCTTTCAATCTGATGGTCATTAATTAAATTTTAGCACTCTCAACTAAGCCAGTAATGTCAAATTTCACAATATACTAGACTCAACAATTACCGAACCAATGGCAAATAAACTGGACCCAGGTTGTGAATCACACAAAATTTCACGCTACTATTTACAGCTCAAACAAGTGACAGAATTTAATGTCCAATCAAGAATCTATTCAACATAATTGATTCATGAAGATACTATTCTCACTTTATATCACAAACATGCAATTTTTGCAGACATCAGACCATCAAACAATTAAACAGTAAATAATACAAGATTCAATAACAAAAGAAAAACAAAAGAGGAACTCAATGATAATGTCCAAAGAACTTACCATTGGATGCACGAATTGGCTCCCATCCTCACTCTTCTCCAACCAAACATGCTCGAAACGCATGTTTGAATTGTTTACCCGTATATTATACTCTTCTTGAGGCCGAGGAATCCATGGTACATGAGATGGAACTTTACTCCGTCTATCCTCACTCTTTTTGCCCCTCAAACCCTCACTATTCTCAATATCGTGAAATGTTCCCTTCTTCTTCTTCCCCTTAACAGACTGAAAATTACTCTCCATTGAAACCTTAAACCCCTCAACAGAGCGCAATTGTCATTCTTGACAGGAGTTGACCACTCAAAGTGAGGAACCCTTGAAATTTACCTCAAAAGAACCCTAAAATTGTCGAATTTTCTGCAAAAGTTGAGAGCTTGATCTGAAAGAGGGGAAGATAGCCGATTCTTGAAGGAATTGGAGCCCTATCTTCTCTTCTAGGGTTAGGGTTTTGGATTCGCCAGGGGCGAGCTCAGAAGAGATTACGATTTTTTTTCCCTTCGGTTTTAATCGTGTGATTCATTTTGGGGAATAAATGAGAGATATAAAGGGTGTCACACCCTCATTTAATCACACCATTTGGCGCGCGATTAACACAGGTTTTTGAGCTGCTGCGTTGTCGGTTGTGATCACCGGCTATCGTCGGTAGCGGAGTAAAAGACCAGAGTTTTTCTTCTTTTTCGGTCCAAAATAAAAGAACAAATTTTCACTATAGACCCAAACCAAGTAATTATTATCAAAATCGACCCATTTTTTTTAATTACCAAAATCGATCTATTTTATGCCACGTAAGGTTAATCACATTTCTTAATTAGTCGGGGTTGGCAATCCCAACTGTTTAAAGCATTAAAAATTAGATTTAAGGTTTCTAATTGGGGTTTAACAACTCCTAAACAGTCGGGGTTGGCAACCCTGACTAATTAGGAAATAAGATTAAGCTTACGTGGCATAAAATGGGTCGATTTGGTAATTAAAAAAAGGAACGATTTTGATAATTAAAACTTGGTTTGGGTCTACAATAAAAATTTGTTCAAAATAAAATTGAAGGAGAGAAAAAATTTCTCAAATTTATTTTATTTACATGTGAGATAAGATTGTTTATAGGGAGGAAAATTGAAGAAGTGTGATGTGAAAATGTTGAAGCTGTGGGAGGCATAAACAAAAATTGGAATGTAAAATGGTGTGATAAATATTCTCTATAATTAATTATTATCGCTTCAAAAAATCCCCGTCAAATTTCTAATAGAGAGCTTCCTTAGACAAACTCTTTTATATGACTCAGTAAGACATCTATCATGATTCAAATATTTTAACCCTATAAACTGACATAAATAATTTACTTTTATCTAATACGAGTCTATGATTAATTTTAATAAAAAAATTATGTAGTGTAAGAGTTAGGCTAAAATACGCGTTAAAAAAGAGACCTCAGTGCAACAATATATGAATTTCAAACTATCTTGATAAGTGAGACATTTGCAAACAAAATATGAGATACTGATGACCAATTATATGTCTTGTCCGATGAAATAAAAAACTTAAAAACCTACCAATGGTTTTGAAATGTTGATATATAATAAAAATTTATAGTAAATTACAAATACTAACTTAGCAATATAGGGGTTTGTTCGCTTATGAGTATCTATTATTTTACCCACAATTTTTAAGTACCCCAACATTTCCCTCTTTTGTACACCCCTTTTATGAGGATGTGTTTGGCAAAATGTCGAAAAGTAGGCCAGGATCAATGCTGACCAAGTTTCATTCTAAATTGGTTGTATTTGTGGACCAGTGTTGGTCCAAACTAAAAATAGTTAATATTAACCCAATTTTTTGCTAAATAGAAAAACACTCAAAACTAAGCCAGGCTCACGAGGTTTGCCAAACACAAACCGACTCTAAAAAGATGGGTTAGGATTAGTGCTGATTTAGTTTTATTCTAAACTGGTTTGAATCTGGACAAGTGCTGGTCCAAACTAAAAACCGAGCTAATGTTGATATAATTTTTTGCAAAATAGAAAATCATTGAAAAGTAAGCCAGATTGGTTTGCCACGGCACAACCTGACTCTAAAAAATATTTGAAAGTTTCGGCCATTTTCTTTATTTTTTTCAGAATTTCGGCCATTTTCTTTATATTTTCTTGCCCTTTTGGGTCCAAATTGGGCCCAAAATCTCAGCAAAAGCAAACCGCACAGAACTTTCCCACTCACTCTCACTCTCCTCTCCCACATTCTCCCCTTTAGGGTTTGGCTGCGCTCTTCTCCTTCAAAAAATGAGGTGAAATTCTCTCAAAAGTCTCAATTTTATTTTTCTATTAATGTGTTTTCCCTCCAATTGAATCGATTAAAACTTAGACCCTAATTTTTCTTCAGTAAGCACCCAGAAGTTCTTTGGGCGCAGCGATCGGAGAAGTTGTATTTGACGATCTCGTTGCCAGATGCGAAGGATGTTAGCGCGAAGAGCGAGTCTGAGGGCCTGTTCAATTTCTCGGCCACTGGAGCCCATGGAGAGCCTTTCACCTTCAGTCTTGAGCTTTATGGGAGTATAGTTCCTGAGGTGAGTTCCTGTCCTTTGTTAGGGTTTTAATTTGTTTTGGGTTTTTATGAGTTTGGCTGGCTTAAATACCATTCTGTCTTTTGTATGATGAATAGTTAAAGGTTTTGTTTTATATGTTTTTATTTTATTTATTTTTGGCTAGGGGGTTTGGTGCTAGTTAAAGTTGTTGACCATGAGATATAGGAAAGATACTTGAAAATGTAGCTTCGATACTTTGCATGAAGTCTAGGCTGTTTGTGCATGACTTTATTCATTAGCTGTTGTGTTTTGATTGGGGGAATTCCTGACTTGTTTATGATTTCTCTGAATGCTGGTATTGAACATAAATGGCCTGCGAACGCCATGGTTGACACTTGACATTCAATATGAAATACAATGGCACATTGAGATTTGAGAATGCATGCATAGCATAGCATCGATTGATCAATTGCTTGATAAATGTCATTGATCTTTACTTTACGAAAAGGATAGATGTATTTAAAAAAAAAAAAGAGTGCAGTAGTTACGATATATGGGACATTTGTTAACCTTGTAAGGGCTAAGGGGATCAGATGTTTCTATTGGAGGTATCAAATTTTGGATGATTGGGATCTGAATATTTGATTCTGAAGTCCAATTTTTCTTGGAAATAAGCAAGTTCTCAAGGTGCTCTCACAGTAGTAGAGATTTACCCATCATCATTACTAATAAGCAGAAAATCCAGATAATGTTTATTTGCTAGCATTAACAATATATCATACATATGGAAAGGTTTAGATGGAGCGTTTTGCGAAAGCATGAATTTGAAGAGCATTGTTATTTGTTAGTTTTATACACGTATTCTAGTAAAAATACTTTTGAAAGAAAAATCAACTATTAGATCATTAGATAGAATAAATGAGAACTATATCTGTGGACACAAAATACACAAGTTGTTTCTACATATCCTTCATATATTTATTTGTTCTTATATTATGTAATATTGGCTACTGCTTTAAAAAGTGCTCTAGGCTCCTGCCTTGGCGCTGCATAGGCCTAAGCGCTAGCTAGACGTCCGCTTAATTCTTGAGAGCGCCTAAGCAAACATTGATCGCTTACGTGAACTCACCACGTCAAAAAGGGGTTTATTGCCTGCTTAAGCATACATAGATGAAGAGAACAGGTCAGATTAAAATGTTTTCAGATCAGAAATTGATCCTAGTTCATCTAGAATAAAACAATGTGGATAGAATTTTGAATCTTTAAAGAAAATCCCACTCTGTTGCTTCATCTATATGTCATTATAGCTGACATTAATGGATGATATGTAAACATAGCTGCTACCTGATATCTTTTCTCTGCAACATTATATATATTCTAATCATCACGCTTCCTATGGTGACATTCTTTTTGAAGCGAGAATGTCTGATTATCTGTCGTCATGGATAAGGAGACTTATGTTGTACGGTTATAAACGTGCTTCTGTTTGATACTCATCTTGGCCATTTGATTCTATGTTCAGAGTAATGAAGTGAATATTGGACTACGTAACATACTATGCTCAATTCAGAAAGAGAAGAAAGGTTGGTGGAAGCGACTGCTGAAGTCGGATGAGAAGCCTGCTCCATATATTAAGGTTGATTGGAACAAGTGGTGTGACGAGGATGAAGAAGAATCAAGTATGTAGTTTTTAAAAAAACATAATATTTATTTAATGTTAGCTTCATATTTCTTAATACGATCTACTATGATTGATAATAATCATGCTGAGTAGATAATCTTTCAGGAAGCAAGTTCATCTTGTTCTATGTAGCACGATCACTCTTATTGTAAAGTTATAATGGTGACAAATACATTGATACAACTGTGGGAAACCAATAATTCTAGATACTTCTCAGACATGGTTCATGGTTCCTTAATATTATATACCTTCATTTCTCTTATGCTTTATGGCTATGAAAGACTTAAACACGACAAGGATCTTGAAGATAAATATAGGTTAACACGTAGGAAAACAATTATTGCAACCATATGCCTCTGATATCATAAATACAAGAAATATTGACAATTGGTACATGCCAGCAGATGGAACACCTAAGGGTATGATTAAAACCTACACTTCAGACTCACGCACATGTCAAACATGGGCGACAAGACATACTTTCAGCCATGTCTTTTCAAAGAAAAAAGGAAGTTGTGTGCTTGAGGAAGTTCTTGGATTGAGAACTTTAGAAATTGAATAAAACTGGTTGCTATAGCTAGTACATAGTAATAACCGTATCATATAACACCACTTATGACACTTTCTAAATAGAGAGAGACACGACACGTTATTGAGCGTTTTTTAGCCTGTCTCATCTTAGCTTAGCATTTAGATGATGCTTTGATATCTGGAGTCTTTGCAGTTGTAGCCTTCTGGGATATATATTTTTATTACTTCTTAAACTGGTTGTTTTGTCAATAAATTTTTTCTGAATGAGCCGCCTCAACAGTGTAGATGCACATTCTCAGGTAAGATATAACCTGACAGCTGTTTAATATTCTGTCCTTGTATTTCTTGATCACAAGTCTTCATACTTGTAATATCTTCGAGCATATGTAGTTCTGCTAGGATCTTGGGGAACCCAAGTGGGCGGGCACAATAGGGAAATGAGCTCCTTTATATGAAGAAATGTTTCTTGTGATTTTGTTTTGTATATGATGGGATGTGACGCAACTATCATAACTTCTTCTATGATGTTCCCTTAAGATACCTGATAATTCATGCTTTTTGCCCTAATACCTGATGTCATATTCTTGCAGATGAGTCTCTTGCTTCTGATGATGATGCTAATGAGGTACTACACCATTTCTACTTTCACAGCTGTTATCTTTGTTTATATTCCATTTTCAAAAGTTAATCTATTGTTTTGTCATCTTTTGACAGGAAGAAGAAAGTGATGATGATGATGGGCTTCTCTGTAAGTACTCTTATTCTAATTTGCCTTTAATTATGAGTTTGTTAACTCTGTTCTGGCAATGGGTTGCTTGACCAGAGAGTTTTATTGGAAGCACCTTTATCGATTTGTTAGGAACACTCAAATTTTTTATACACAGGCTAATTAGTTGCCATGCTGTCTCTTGGGCAGTTGGGCCTCACATGATGTTATTGGTGTTCACGAGTCACATGCTCACATGTTTACTATCTACTTGTACCCTGCTGGATCTAAGAAAACACTTACGTCAAAGCCCTATCATTGGCATCATGTACTTATGTCTTTCCTTCTATCATTGCCTCATAAAATCCTAAACCTGACACTAACTCTAATCCTAACATTGTGAATTTTTTTCTCTCTTGCATGGTCAGAAATATGAGAATGTCCCTAATTCAATTAAACAATGAAAAGAGAGATTCTTTTTGGGAGTTTTTTTGGTGTGACAAGAGGAGGGAGAACACATTTTAGTTATTAAGATTTCTTGACATGTCAGGGGAGAGACAAGGATAAAGGAGAGAGATTCCAGATTTTCTCAGGTTCTATAAAATCTATTGTTCATCGTGTTGTGTAGGAGTCCCAAGGTTGAGGGCCCATCCTTTTCCTTTTTTCTTTAGTGATGCCTTTATGAGGGTATTCAATTTTTTATAATTTAGGGCATCAGAGACCATTTGATTACTTAGTAAACTATTTGGATTCTATTGCCTTGTCAACTGGGGAAAATATGTCAAGTTCTTTGGTGGGCATGAATTCCTTGACGTTAATTCCTTGACGTTAAGAGTCTTGAAGTTGACCCGGTTAGGTAAATCATAATTGACCCTAGAAGATCTTGACTATTGATTATGCTCCATGTTGTGAACTCACATTAGAAAAACATTGTCTCATGCTCCTTTTGGCAACTTAGAGATAATAAAAATATATCTATCTCAAAATTTAGGGTGGGATCTTTATGTCTCCCAAACCTGCTCGCCAAGATCATCAGGATGAGACTCGGGAATGCCTATTGTCATATAGTGGAAGGATATTTGGTTAGTGAATTACCACTATTTGTCATATGTTGTGATCTTTCTTGGCATAGGAAGATGTACTGGTTGGTTCACAGGAAGAATGGAGCAATGATGTTTTTATCTCGAATCCTATATTTAGATGTTGATCCTACAAAATCTTCAATTCACTACCACATATATGGTCTATCGCAACGGTTCAAAGCCATTGCAGTAGGACGATAACCCTTGCTTTTGAATCAAGGGCAACGTTCAAAAATAGTCTTGGATATGCAGACACTTAATACCCTCCAGTAGCAAAGGGTTATCAGCAACCATAAATATATCAATACTTCACTTTTGCAATTATACATCCATCTGCAAGTAACTCATTTTAGGATCATAGCGCAGAAAAAGGCTGCCAACCAACATTTCAGAGTATTCACACAACATAAAGTCTCAACTGCCGCCTTCATCAAGTATAACTATGATGGTTTAGGGTTCTTAACACATGGTTGATATTTTTTAGGCTTTACTCCCTCTTCCTAGATGAAAGATTTATGTCTATGAGGAGTTAATGTTAGCTTGACTTGGTCATTGATGACCAAATCAACCATTGTTTCTCTGTTGAGAGAATGGTGGAGACCTAGCCATAAGGCAACGGTTTTGGTAGCTAGAGCGTTGGTCTTAGAAACTATTGCCATAACACATCTAAAGCAAGGGTTTGGAAAGGGCAAGGGTTTGGAAAGGGAACGGTTCATGCGACGACATAAAGACAACTGTTATATGCAATCTTACATTAAACGCTGGGCGCTCCTGGGCGCCGGACTTGGCGCCCAGCGCTTAGACGCCTAGGCGGTCGCCTAATCGGTTTCTGGGCGGTTTTTTTCTTCTAGGCGGTTTTTGGTGGAGAACGTGAATCATGGGTGGTTGAGAGAAAATCTCTCATGGGGGCGGATCTGAGGGGTAGAGACAATCTTACATTAAACGCTGGGCGCTCCTGAGCGCCGGACTTGGCGCCCAGCGCTTAGACGCCTAGGCGGTCGCCTAATCGGTTTCTGGGCGGTTTTTTTCTTCTAGGCGGTTTTTCTTTTTTTAATTATGATACTTGAAGATAAATATATATTCTTAAAATTAAACTTAAACAATCAAACAATTAAACTTAAAATTAAACTTAAACAATTAAACTTAAATAATAAATACAGTTAAACAATTTCAATTTGTAATTCTTAAAACAGAATCTCAAAACAAGAAAACAATTAAACAAATAAACTTAACAATTAAACTAAATATGATATAAATATATTAAGTTGACATGTAATAAATTATAAATGCATAATGACAGTCATAGGTGGTTAGGTGCAGTTAATTTCCTTAAGCTTGAAACAATAAATCTCAACTTCGCTAGCCTGCTAAATTGAAGAACATATAATAAAAAATCCTCACAAGTAATAAGAATCTACCAAACATGAAACATCAGCGGATTAAACTTACTATCTCTCTTAAACAGTTAAACATACAGAAAATTCAAGAGATTTAGGGACGTTACCTTTCCAATCAACACAGATTTTACCTTTCCAATCAATCAAGACAGATTTCTCTTAAACACAAGCCAAAAAATCAAGCAACCCACACCTGGAAGCAACAGACACAAGTAAGCAACCCAATTTCCCTAAAAATTATCAACACAACCGAACCCAAGTTAATGAGAACCGAATCTGCTTAAGAGCACAGCCGAACCCAAAAGTTTGAAGTCGACGAGCTCCAGCACAGGTTGAAGATGAGAACGCAAGTCCAGCATGAGGATGAGATCGACGAGCTCGAAGTTGGAGATGAGAACGACGAGCTCGAAAATGAGCTCCCAGGTTGAAGACGAGCTCGAAAGTCCAGCACGAGGTTGAAGGCGAGCTCGAAAGTCCAGCACGAGATCGAACTAGGGTTTTGGCGGAGATCGAAGACGAAGCTCCAGCACGAGACCGAACTTGGGTTGAGATCGAAGACGAAGCTCCAGCACGAGATTGAAGATGAGCTCGAAAGTCCAGCACGAGGTTGAAGAAGAGCTCGAAACGCCAGCGGCCAGCACGAGATCGAAGCGACGAAGACGATTTTTGATTTTTTTCCTTTTGCTGGCGGCGTCGGTGAAACCGTAAGAGATTTAGGGATAGATTTTTTCACTTTTGAGTTTGGGTTTTGGGTTTTGGGTTTCGGGTTTTGTTTTTGGGTTCGGGTTCTTGGGAGCGCCCAGAGCGCTTTTTTGGGATGGAATTTTGAAGCGGCCCGTGTAATCGGCCCGTTTAGCCCTGGGCGGCCGCCTAGGCGCTCGCAGCGCCTAATCGCGGCCGCCCAGGGCATTTTTGCACGCTCTGGGCACCGCCTCCGCCTAGGCGGGCGCCTAGACGGCCGCCCAGAGCGTGTTTTACAACACTGGTTATATGATGTCTAATGTTGTAGTTGCATTGGACAATAACAAAGGTTGTATAAAAGCAACGTTTTAAATATCGATTATCGAAAATATATCTGACGAATAAAATTCTTATCGGTCGCGATTATCAGGGATATATCAAGGATAAGTAGTAAAAATCGGAGTATCATGTCCGATGGTGAGCATTTTTAATATAATATCCTAAAATGTAATCTAAGCGCATTTAATAAAATATCGAGAGATGGTCTTCGAGAGAGGTCGTCGATAGAAGTCTTCTAGTGAGAAATTTGCAAGCGATTTGGGGGAGATAATAGTGTAGGTAGAGAGAATTATGCTTATACGAGCAAATGTAGATAGAATAGGATAGCACGGTTTTTGTTTAGTGGATGCGTATGGGGTATGGAAAAAGAGGGTTTTTGCCTCCTAATCTGAACTGGTTCACTTACAATATAAATTGCAGAAAATCGGACGATTTTTATCCCAGGAGAAATCGACCACTTTATCGGATTTACATTGATATTTCGGGAAAAATTGGCCAAAAATAATATGCGTTAAGTTTTTACAAAAATCGTATCGGCATGGCCCAAACCCTATATATCGGCAATAAATCAATAAAATTAGCCTATTTGTAAAACACTATATAAAAGTAGAAGCAATGGTCTTGGATGCCAACATTATAGTTTTTAGCTCTTTGCTAAGGTAATAGTTTTTATGCTAAGGCACATTTTGCCATAATTTTGTCTAATAAATAGTATAATATAAGTATAAAGATAATTGTTCTACTCTTCAAATGGAAACATCTTTGCTTGCTAATAACATTTAAAAACATCATTCTTTTCAAAACAAGAGCTTCCAATTAACACATATCATATATAGTCTTAGTGAAATCTTGTAAATATCCACTATATCTTTAGTACAACGCATACAAGTTTCAAGAGTACCAAATTCTTCTATTATCTCCACATTATTAAGAACATCTGAAAGAAAACTCCACACATACAATACGCAGAGATTTATTTTTAGGTTCTATCTTTGCTAGATTATGGCATCCAGTGGTATGCTTATCACCTATATAATAAGTATAGACGAAATAATCAAGTATAAGTGTGAGGATGTCCGTATTAATAAACAATGTATGTTCTCTGCTAATGCATGACTTTCAGGATTCACTTATACAAATTTCTTGGGGAAAAAAGCAATAAAAAATAAAACCTAATATTAGGAATATACATTTGCAGTTTTCATACTCAACAACTATATTTATATTTCAAAGTAATAAGAGCATCCTTGTTACACAATGCAACAAGAAATGAGGTGTATATTGCGTTGCGAATGTCAGGTAAATATCAAGGAAATAAGGTGCATATATAACAAACTGTCTTAAAATGTAATATGATACATACTTAGTGTAATCTAAGTATCGAAAAATGTAAATAACATATGTTTAGAATCACTAACGAAGTGTAGAAACCTATATAGGGAAAAGAGCCTACTGGAATTTGCTAAAAACTTCATAGAGCTAAAATTTTTGCTAAAAACGTTAATTTTTTTTTGCAAAACTATATTATTTAGTGAAAAGCCATATAAAGGACATGTCGACGAACATATCGACTAATATATTAGACTATTAGTCACGTCAGGGATATATTACCCAAAAATTGTCAAATAGCGATAAAATATATTAAAATTATATCATTTTGCTGCAAGCCTTGTAAAAGGATATATCAGCAGGATATATCGGCTACATTGGAGATATTTAAAAATGAGCGTCAAAAGTATTTTCATAATTTATTTTTTTGGAGCACTTTGAGTAAATGGAACTATCACAAGAATCACAATTGAAAAGCCTAGTTATGAGCATCAAAAGTATTTTCATAATTTATTTTTTTGGAGCACTTTGAGTAAATAGAACTATCACAAGAATCACAATTGACTTTGGTAGTATGTGATTTTATTAAAAAAAGCTTAGTTATGATTAATATTCATTTCATTTTGTCTAAAGAGTACATAAGACACTAGATTTGTATAGTGATCAGAGATTTGGAGAAAACATGTCCTAATGATGTTTTACTCGAGAAAAAATATGCATCCAAGTATAAATGAGGGGGAAATCTTAACAAACATGTCAAACTCTATTTTCTCTATATTCATTTCAAGCTGTTTTCAAGCTCTCATTAATGAGCTACAATGCACAAGAGAAATGTAATCATCATACACGATAATCTAAATGTGGATGTAGAAAAAACTTATGTTGTGCCAATAATTTAAGCACTAACAAAAACATTAACAATATGAAATTCAACTTACATCTTTCATGGTCATAACAAGACCGTGCAGAACATTTTTCCAAATTATCCTGAATCCAGGGGTTTTAGTAGCGCAAATCTACAATGTCATTATTTGGGTAGAAAACTATAAAGTTGTTCCTAGATCATAAAATATGGTTACTAAAAGGGAAAACTTATATTTCATTTTAAAAGGAAAACAAAAACCGTAATTCCAACTCGAAGCTTATTAATGATGAGAATAGCAAGTGCATCACTTTCAAAATATGTAGCAACAATAAGTAAATGATTTGTCTTTGGACAAACATTATAGAACCAAATACTAATACAAGATAAAATCCCATATTGGTATATGAATATTCCGCTAGCATAGTGGACCGAAAGAAGAAAAAACCTCATGTACCTTCAGTACTTAGTCCAACACTTCATCACTGCAGGGCATGATTAAGATATATATATATATATATATATATATGAGAAAACGGGAGGTGAGCTGGCAGGCGTAGGAAATTTCCTAGCGCTGCAAGTGTATGGCATGTGAGCCCCACATCAATGTGACTAGTTGGGGGCTCACACGTCATACACTTGCAGCACAGGAAATTTCCTACGCTGTCAGCTCACTCCCGTTCTCTCTCTCTCTCTCTCTCTCTCTCTCTCTATATATAATATATATAATATTATATATATATATATATATATAATATGGGTATGCTTGGTACCAAGCACAAATTTGGTGGCTTGATAGTGAGGTGTCACTTTCCCATTCACGTCATTACAATTTCCAACCACTCCCCAACTCATGTGAGTGTGGAGCCTGATTTCAATGAGTGGATGAGAAAGTGACAACTCACTACCAAGCACCATTTTTTGTGCTTGTACCAAGCATACCATTTTCTCTCTCTCTTCTCTCTCTATATATATATATATATATATATATATATATATATATATATATATATATATATATATATTCAAACTAGAGGATCTTCTTGTTCCTATAAGAATAAAAAATAAAAAATAATATCAGCTAAGTTAAGTAACCATGAAGCGCTGAGATGTGGGTTCGGTACATTAGAAGTAGTTTCTAATACATTTCTGGTTCTTCTAATTGATGATGAAGTAAGGTTATACATATTTCCTGTCAAGTTTTAAACCTTTAAAGACTTCCCATTCATTGTAAATTGTTCTCTATCCAGTCAATTAAAGGTTATATTATATATGTAATGGATACAACCCAAACTAAACAAGCTTGTCATCGAGGATTCAATCTCTGAAGAAAGAAAATAAAAAAGCGATAGACATCCAAATATTGTAAGGTGAACACAAGCTTAAATTTTGTAAGGTGAAGCAAATTAAAATTCAAAACTTTGAAATCTGACTTAGACATATGGTCCACCATACTCATGGAGCAAGCAACTTACCAAGTTGTATCATAATCAAAATCTCATCTTTTTTTTATACTTGAATAAGAAAAAAATTGAGGTGACCGAACGTAGTAGTAACATCCGACGATTATAACATGATTGTTACCACAACTAGCGGCAAGAGGTCTCTAGCTCTTGACACTAGTCCAGATGCTCCTCCAGCAAACCTTATTAAACAAAGAAAAGAATAGAGAGTGAGAAAAATTAAAGTGAACTTTTTAGCCCTAGAAATTAGAAATCAGGGTGATCATAAAGAAAAGCAACCGAAGTAAAGTCAAATAGATTTTTACCTTGGAGGTTTGTGGTTGCATGTGTCAATCCGACATACACTTAGACATTAAAGTAAATATTCAAAATCAAATATATATATTTGAACTTGCAAGGCTATAATGTAATCTGTATAGATTAGTGGCCATTTATATTCCATTATCTAAAAAAATAATTAATAGTATATATAATTTTGTTTACTTTTGATTCAAGTAGGGACCAACAATAAAGCATTGTTCTAATCATTATCATTCATTATCAATGATCAATAGTAATCTCCATGTCCTATCCATATTGGTCCACTCTTACTGATTACAAATGCTAACCTCACTGGAAGCCAGTAGAGGGTCTAGACATGGACTAACTTAACAACTATTTTATTGAACTCAATGCAAATTTCTGTCGACTATTACCAAGATTTAATAGGTCAACAACCTTCTCTTTCAAATTATTAGTCTAGAACAACACTTAAAACTCAACAAAAACTCATCGTCAAAGAAGGAAACATTCTCAGTGCTCTTAGAAGTATCCATCTGTCAATTTCCTCTGTAATAAACCAAAAAGTAATTAATTAAAAAGTAGAAATAAACACACAGTTTTCTTCTATCAGAATTTCTGATATACTATCAAATTTAAATAAAAGAAATGTATCTGATTCTCCGTAGAGAATACAGAAGACTTAAGAGGGGTTGAAACCCTTGAGCAGTTGAGCCATCATGTCCGTCATTTGAGCAATTGATAGTATAACTAAAATTCCTATAGATCATTAACCAGTAAAAGATAAATAATACAAAAAAAAAACAAATAAAAGAGAATGACTTACATCTTTTCAACATGTAACTCTAATAGCATATTCAAGCAACAGTCAATAATAGAAATTGATCATCATTTACCAACAAATTCCTCTATTGCAACACTCAATTGGAGTCATAAAACTTTTGTACTACCTAATATTTAGAAAAAAATCAAAACTAGATTATATAGCAATATTAACAGAGTCAAGCACCTACATTGAAGCCATAAACCCTAAAATAGACCCTAATATCAAAGGCATGATAATATTATGCAGGCACAAGCATTAACACTCATGCCATAGTGCAGAACATAAGATATACAAACAAATTCTATTCAATGAGAGCAAATATTTTGATTTTTCCCAATTCTTTTAATTCATTTCAATTCAAAAATAAAGAAAACAACTAAATTTTCTTTGGCGGAGCACTTTCTTCCCCAATTCCAATGCAATGTCATAAGTTCCAAGAGTCGTCACAGCCTACAAACTATGAAGCGCGGACACGCATAACATGAAGCCGTGTCGTGACGTGTCCGTGTTGGACACACGTCACACGTGTCGAACGTCGAACACACGTATCCTATGTATTTTTTAGGATTTGCCTCGTGTTGGCGTGTCGGATGGCCGTGTCGGCGTCGAACACACGTATCCTATGTATTTTTTAGGATTTGCCTCGTGTTGGCGTGTCGGATGGCCGTGTCGGATCCGTGTCCGTGCTACATAGCTATTTTTTAGGATTTGCCTCGTGTTGGCGTGTCGGATGGCCGTGTCGGATCCGTGTCCGTGCTACATAGCCTACAAACACAACAATCAACACATTCAACTAACTGATAAAAGTCACAACCTAATGTTTCAATCGAGAGATCACAAAGATTTAAGGGCGAGGTTGGAGGCAAGCTCGGAGATGTCGAAGCTGCGAGGGGCAGAGCTGACAATGTTGA